CCCAATGTTGATATCTTCGCGACGTCCCTGGTTATATGCTTACCTATTTTTACTTAAAAATTTCACTAATAATTCATGAAGAAAATTTAAAAAAAATGAATGGTTAATCAATGTTTGTAAATCGGATAAAGATTTGTCCTGATTTACATAAACTCAGCTTTGATTTCCTCGGCTTAGGCAATATTTATTTTTAAAGTCTTTAAAATTACTTCGCCAGTGAGCTCGTAAGATGGGTCGTTTTTTAACATCCGATCTAGCTTTATCTGATATACAAACTTTCGCCTTCGGCTCGAATGTGTATATCAGATAAAAATCGGCTGCTCATGTTTTAACTAGTTCATAAACTTGCGTGGTTATATACGTCAAGGAAGAGGACGTCAATTTTAGCTGTTGTTTTATTTTAACATTTTATAGATTTGCCATAAATGAAGTTGTCTATTGTATTCTTATGTTTTCTCACTGTTTCGGGAATGGGTCCTCCTGGACAAGCAAAAATGAACCATGGTGTCAAAAGCATGAGTGAGGATGCATGCGAAGAGCGTGAAATTTCGGTTTCAACAGTTACACAAATGGTGGTGGACAAAACTAGAACGCAAACGGTAACGGTAACACAAATAGTAACACAAACAGCAACGGTGACGGCGACGATAGTCCACGACCCTACTCAGCAATGGAGTTATCCGGCAGGCGATAATAGGTACCCCCATCAGGCGACGTACAAAGCAAAATGTGGATTGCAGGTTTGTCGTCTATTAATACCAAAATGTGGATGCGGTGAATGGAGTAGGTGGGACAACATGCGATTGTTTGCAACGGCGTGCCATAAGGAAGGAGGGTGGATAGAATGCGTACAATTCGCAGCAAAGAAGACAGAACGATTGGACCAGCCTGTTGTGTATAACGAAGATGGATTTTAAAGGTTTAAAAGAAAATAAATTAGAAAAATAGTTGATGATGAAACAATAACTGATTATATATACGGTGTATGTGTGCATGGAATGATTGTGATATTTTTTACTATAAATATAGTATAGTTGCAATAATTTGTTTTCATTTTTATCGGTATTTTAATAATGTTGAAGCGTTATAAAAATAGTCATTATGGTGTAACCTCTAAAAATTACACTTCGGAACAATTAAGTAAAGATGTAAGTAGAACTGAAAACTCTCAATATTTTAAATCAAACACAGGACGGAAAAATAGATTTGCTCCAACTTTGCAACCCCCTGCAAAGGTGCCATTGCCGTAATCGCATCAAATTTGCTATTGTGCAAATTTTGTTCAAATTTGGAAAGCAAATTGGTAAATAAATTTTTACCCTCATATTGGTAAATACAATTCTCTTTTTTGAGAGGGAATGGGTATAGGATAAATTTGGCTCAAATTACCTTTCATTTGCACATGTGAATTTGTGGGTATTTTCGTCCATAATTTGGTTTCTAAATTTGCCAAAATATTTGCAACCTTGCAAATTTGATGCGATTACGGCAATGGCACCTTTGCACCGGGTTGCAAAGCCTAGTGCAAATCTGTTTTTTCGCCCTGTGAAAGGTAATTAAAATTATATAATCAAATAGAAAAAAGTATTCTGAAAGAATTCAGAACTAAAAAGTTTTTTTGAAAGGATGTTGTGTATTTTATCCGATAAAGAAATGAACAAAAAGGAATGTACTGCATCTCTTACTAAGAGATATACGTCTCAGATCTCACGTATTGGATTTGAACCGACGTCCTACGGAACTACAGTCCGTTGCCCTACCGGATGAGCTAAAGCGAGGAGTTGTACCTTTCCCATCGGTAGTATTATAGAATAAATTGTTACTTCCATTGGAAGGATAGAATAAATTGTTACATTCCATTCCCCGAACATGCCCCTGAAAAACAACTTTATGGGTGGGGGAAGTCGGTGGGAATGAAGGTTGAGATGGATGGAGAGAAAAGGAAGTTAAATGGGGAATTGGTGAATCAACAGGAAGAATAGGGCAGGGGTTAAAGGTGAAAAAAATAAAATAAACCCATAACAAAGAAACGAAAGAGAGGTATAACCTCCTACAATTACAAGTACTAATTTTGCCTTTGATCTATATACCTTCCTTCAATCTAAATTTAAAAATAAAGCACAAGTTCTTCCATTTTTGTCACGTTTCCATATCCCCTTTTACCAAGAAACAGAGTGGAATGAATTGAAGGAAGATTAATGTCGGACTACGGGAAGAAAATAGACCTTTCTTATATAGGATATTATTAAACTTGGTGTTGAAAATTTACTAAACTGATAAAAATTTTACCAAATCAATTTCATCCCCCCCCCCTTCCGGTTTGATAAAGATATACACACCACCTTATAGACCCGGGGGACAAGTTGATCAATATATTTGAAGTTGGAATAAGTATTAACTTAATGTAGGAAAATGTTTTTGTGAAAAACAATAGTGTTATCCGATTGACTTCGACAAGGCAACTAGGTCGACTAGGTTTGAAAACCCACTAATTCCCTATTTGATATTTGAAAATATGGGGTTCAATTTACGGTTTAGAAAATGCCATTAATCGCTTTTAGCATCCCATTACACAAGATACCGCTCAAACATGAATTTTTGCCAAAAGTTTACTGAATTATTAAAATCTCTACAAATTTTATCAAAGTTTTACTAAAAAATTCTCAATACTAAATTTTTGCCAAAATTGACGAAATTTTACCAAAATCCCATGCAACCTGCTTACAACTTCAGTTCAATCACTTGTACAATGTAAATCAAGCACACATGTAATCTGCCTACGCTGTCGTCGGTTAGTTGTGTGCTTGATTTACACAGTACAACTCAAGTTGTAAGCAGGTTGCATGAAGCAAAAGTTGTGTAGTGAAATCGGCCTTTACACTACACAACGTGTGTGCAAAAATTGTCGCATGCGCAGTAGCGGAAATTCACTTTTCCGGTGGGGAGGGGGGGGGGCGAAGCCTTCTAAATTTCCGACAAAACTTTCA